CCCCAAAACCCCAAAACCCCAAAACCCCAAAACCCCAAAAATAAATAATAATATTGAGAAATATACCAAATGGACTTATCTATTTCTGCGTTGGCTAAGAAGTTTAATAGTATTGCTCAAAAGCCGCAGAGTACAAAGAATAAAAGACTTAGTCTCTTTTCAAAGGTAATTGATTAGCCAAATGTTTATCTTAAGCTAAATTCTCTCTCCAATAATTTTACTTAAAACAAGCTGAATCGGAACTTTTTAATTTCTTGAATAAATCTCTGAGGTTTATCAGTTCTTTTTAGTCAACACCAACAACAGGGGAAGTTTGCCAGCCTTCTAGATAATGCCAAAGATATTACTTAATTTCTTATTTGAAACAGATAATTGACATTTAAAATTTTGAACATTGGAATTGAGGTCCAGATAAATTAAAAAAATGTTGAAATTGGTTGAAAATTCTTCTTTGATTATACAAAATCTTTCCAACTTATCAGCCATTAAAGATTCATGTAATTTACATGACAATATTCAATATTTCAGCTAGAATTTTCAATTCTGTTAAGAAAGCATTGACGAAGCTCAAAACTTTGAGATATCTCATTCAGATATTTATGTGATAAATTTTGTTACAAATTCAAAACAGCTAATTCTGCTTCAAATATCTTATCAATATAGGAAACTTCAAATGATCGTACAAGGATAAACCTACTGACAAGTAAGACTGGTCATCTTGAAGCTCTTTTCTAATTTCCAAGTTTTTATCAAGTTTAAAATTACCAATATTTAGCCAAGAAACAGAATTTAGTACCTGAGAAGCAAGGTGTGCTAAAGTTTAACCCTCTAGAAACTGCTAATTTTGTTTCAAAAGCTACTAATTCTTCGAAATTTTCAAAAAGAACTGCACTGAGACAACCAGGTAATGTTACCATTAACATTCTAAAGATATTGATAAAATATCTTCGCTTGTTATTCCACATAATGATGACTATTCTTCGGAAGAAGAATCTGAAAGTGAGACTCATACATACTCAGAGGGAGAGTTCTCAGAGTCCTTTAGTGTCGAAATCAAAGATAATGTAAATCTCTGGTTAATCTCTAGGCAGAAGGAAAACACTTAAAAAGTAAAGAAACTAAATCATTAAAGGAATACATTGAGAGAGTCAACAAAAGCGATGTAAGCTTCTTAGGTCGAGATTTAGTACTCTTATGATCCTTCAAAGGAGGATTCACGAGAGTTCAAACTTCCTCCTAAACCAGATGGCAAATATTTGAGAAGGACAAGGAAAAATTATGAAATTATTCAAAACTTTATTAAGAAACAACAAAAAGTATTTAAGAAGCAAAGTAAGTTCTGAATCATTTTGTAGAATCTGTGAAAATCAATACTTTGGTGGATGTACAGGACCCAAACAGTGCTTTATTGGGAGAAAATCTTCATAATAAAGAGATGCAAAGAAGCTCCACAAGATTCAACAATTCTTACATAGTTAAGAATAGAAATTCCTTGTTTGGAGGAGAATCAATATCAGGTTTCGGTAATTTTTAGAAGACTTTCTCTAATAGCTTTTTAGGAAAACAAAAATCAATTTTAAAATAAACCTTCAAATTTCGGTAATTGGGTTATAACATCATAGAGGTGCCTAAATCAAGTTTTTATAACTCTCAAATTAACCTTGAAGATTCGAAAGTTTCAAAATCCTCAAAACTCGGTAAATTCACTTTAAGAGTCTTTAGTGCTCAAAAGAAAATCAACCAAAATTGAGATACAAGATTTAGAAAGTTTTGTAAATTCCCAAACAAATTTGAAACCTAACGATGATCAAGATGAGCTTGATTCTCTTCCTTCATATGTCTCTGAAGCTGCAATGAGAGAAGATTTTAACACTGATATAAAGCCAAGAAAATCTACACTTGCCGATAACCCTCACTGTAAATTTTTAAATTACCTATTTAGTCCCAATCGTGAATATTAGTTTTCCAAGTAAACAATGATCATAATTCATAGAAAATGATTCTCTTAATAACGAAATTACGCCAAAAGTCAAAAAAAATAATCCTCTAGAATTTCCCTCCCTAAAATAGCAAAATGACTGGCATCACAGTTCAGATCAATCAGTAATCCTCTTAACTCAAACACTAGCCCTAAAATTCCCAACAAATCAAACAACACCAAAAGCTCCTCCAAAAACTCTCCTCACCCAACCCCTCATGCCATCACTAAATCTCCACCCCACAACCAGCCGCTCACCACCTCCCAAAAGTACGCTTTCCCATTTAACCCCAGGCCGTCTCCGAGCCATGAAGCCTCTGCAGAGGAGGACTCTAAAACAAATCTCCAACCGCACCACTTCTCTACCCTCAAAAGATCGCAGGTATATCTCCATTGACAAAATAGAACGCTCGCAGAGGAGCTTTTAGAGCAATCACTATTTTTGATAAGGACAAAATGGAATATTCAGCTATTGGGAATGCTCCTGATATGAAACTTTTGGAGGATTTGAAGCATGTCAGACCTGTTTCTTCGAGACCGAGGAAATAAGAGTAGGAGGAAGAAGAAGTATAAGTTGAGGAATAAGTTGGGACCAGCCCCTAAGATTGATATTGATCAAGAGATTTTTAGAGATAGGGAAAGAAGAGCTCGTAGGGAAATGAAGAGAATTAAGTAGGAATTTGAGTTAAGTGTGTAGTGTTCTTAGGGATAGAGAGCTTAAGGAGTATAATAGGACTGCAAATCCTTGGTTAAAATAAGTCAAGGTAATTACTAAAAAACATTATTTAGAAATGGAAATTTTAAGAAAATTGATTTGAACACAGAAGAATCTCGAAAGTATAGAAGTCATATTAACCCTTTGATATTTGGTTCTGAATTCTATTTTACTGAGAAGAGTTTGAAGATGCATAAGCCAAGCCAGTATCCGTTTGACCTGAAACACACCATCGGGCCTAGCATTGAGTATAATAAGTTCCATGACTCTCAGTTTGGTGTAAACAAAGGGGGTAAGCCAGACTGGTAATATTTAGAAAGTGAGAATACTCTGATTCCAGGAGAAAATTCTAGAATACACAGTCAATATTTCTCAAGCAACAGAGAATTTGATAGATTTATTAAATAAGCTTCAATATTTAGAGGAAGGAATGGGGTTTTGGGGTTTTGGGGTTTTGGGGTTTTGGGG